ATGCAACATTTAGTGAACATCAATTTATTTGCATGTATTTGTTATAAATGCCACTGTATAATTCTTGCTGTCAGTATTTGCAAGATATTGGTATTTGGGTCTGTACTGGTTAGACTTAAATGAGTTAAACCAAGGTCTATAGCCCTTGGGTCATAAACTGAGCTATAAGTATATTGGTCTTTTTATACTGGGAATCAGGATTTATTTTAGTGATCATCTTGTTTCTTATTTCTGTCCTGATTGTGCCCTGAGCAATTTTATGACTGAATAAAAACAAATTAAATCAACATAAATAGAAAAATCGTCCTAAATAATCGTGATCTCAATTTCAGTCACCATAATCGTGATTATTAATTTTGCCATAATCGAGCAGCCCTAGCCTTCATGGAACTAATTAGAAGTTTAAAATTACACATTTACAGTGTAAACTTTGACCTGTGGGATACAGGCGCCATATTTACCGCCGTAAAGCAAAAGCAAATCAGGTGGGAGTGTAATCTCTGACCTGCTGCACAGCTGGAACACCGTCTCCGGTCTGCCCTCCACCTCGGACCTGGAGTGGATCAGCTCCCAGATGCAGCTGCTTTCTGCGCCTGTTCCTGGGAGAGATGAAGCTTTTAATCATGTGGTCCAAATATATTTCAGGGGGGGGGGCTAAAACGGCATCCTACCTGCAGCGTTTCCCAGCCTGACCTGCAGCGAGGAGAGCGGGATGAGCCGTCGGAACTTGAACGGGTCCGAGTCGCCGTGACAAAGTGCTGAACGAGGATTCGTCTGGTGATCAAACGGGTGAAGGCAAAGATGTTTTTTACTTTTACATCAAACCAAAAAAAAGCACTATAGGAGAAGCATTTTACCACCTTCTTCTTCAGCTTGTTGTATTCCCTGTAGACCAATATCACCGCTTTCTTGAAAACTGGAGAGGGGAAAAAAACATCAGCGCCTTGGTTTTGACTGCAAATGCCTCGTGGGAGAATTTGAAGGAGGTGCAGCCGCCAGAAGCATCTCAGATGCCAGTTCTGTGTTAAAGCCATGGGTATTTAAATGCTTCTGCGCAGCTCTAACGAACATTCATCTGCTCACCAAACACGGTAAGTTCTGGATCTTTTCTCATGCGGCCCAGCGACGGGTGCGGGTTGAGCCAGAGCGCTGAGGAATGCATGAGAAACTCTCCCATGGAAATCTCTGTGACCTGACGGGAGCGCAGAGGGCAACAGAAGGGTTTAAGAGCAACAAGAGGCTGAAGAACAACAAACTAGATCCATGAATAAAGACGTGATGGAGTCTTATAAATCCAGTGCACTCCTACAGTATACCCCTCAACATTTAGCATTCACTTTGAAATGTAATGCTGCAGTGGTTTTCAAATAAATATTCCATCAGTCTGGAAATTTCAAGTCCCAAAAGGGCAACGTGCACAAGATAAACCGTTCTGATGAATCCAGTCGGCTGAAATTAGCTCGAGTGTTTTCAATCAGAGCTGATTTTAGAGCTGCACCTCTTTGTCGAGGCCGGTCTGCTCAGCGACAAGCTGATCAAACACCGGGCCGTACTCCTCGTAGATCTTCTGCATCTCGTTGATGTGGCTCGCCACCTTCTCCATGGCTTTCAGAGCCTCTGCGGGGGAAAAATGAAACGGGGTTGACGGGAGCCGTGTCTCCACACGCATGGATGTTTGGATGTAGTTCCTCCTTACCGCTGAGGTGGTAGTGCTCCTCGCTGTCTGCGTCAGTCAGAGAGACCAGCTCCCTCAGCAGCAGGGGGTACTTGAGCACCCTCTGCACCGGCTTAATCAGGTACGACTCCAAAGTGGACGAGTGCTGCTTCGTGGGGTTTCTCGCGTCCAGAAATTCTTTGAAGGCCTGATCCGTTTTAGCTTAAAAAGAAAATGCACGCCATGTTTGTTTTGGATCCAAATCTCAATCTGGGTCAGTGCAGAATCATGGTGCAGTAACGTGTCTCCAGCAGGGGGTGGTGTAGGCTACTGACCCCAACCACAAGATCTACCCTAGTTTTTGTGTCAACATCTTATTTGCTGAAATAATCTAGTCGGGATTGCTTCATGCTCACACCAACAGTGCTGCAGAAGTGGTGACGTCCCCCCCCCCGGCGCTTTATAGAGGGGGACCGCTACAACATTCATTATAACACTTACAGCTGCAGCGGCACCTCCCAGAGTAATTGGCAGGTAATTAACACGTCGACATATAAACAGAAACTGCAGCTCCTCATTAAGAAAGTGGAGGAGGGGGAATGAGATTAGAAAGCGTTGATGAACACCTGCCTCTGACCAAGTTGTGCCGTGGTTTTATCCGTCCGATGGGATTTTTCTTCCACCTGTTGTAAAAGCGGCTCGTCAGAGAGGGCTCTAATCTCGGATTAAATAATAGCTTTAATTTGATGTTTTGGTGCTACGACCTACAGACGATGTTTTAGGCTACGTTAGGGCTGCTCAATTAATCGAATTTTAATCACGATTACGATCTGAGTTTTGAACGATTATAAAAAACAAAACAAGCCGATTATTTGCTCCTCCCGCCTGCGCTGCCCCGAGTTGCAAATGAAGCGCTCCTCCCACAGTGTTGCCAATTTAGCGACTTTGACGCTATTTCTAGCAGCTTTTCAGACCCCCTTCTTGACTTTTTAACTTAAAAGTATCTAGTGAACACCTCAGAAACATCTCTGGTAACCCTTAGCTACTTTCTGGATAACTATCGTCGACGTTTCCTGCAGGTTAGCTAAACACCGCCTGCTCTCCGGACCGTTCTTCAGGACATTAGGAAAGGGAATGATGTAGCGATGTCGGTCGCTAAAAAAACAGCTCTCGGAGCCGGCTCCTTGTTGGAGCAACCAGAGTGAGTGACACACACACCGCACCTGCGGACTCCTGAGCCACTAAAAACGGCTAAATGTGCGCGTGCGGCGCGCTAAACACACGTGCAGCTTGCCCTGATTGCTGTGAGAGCAGGTTGGGGGGTGGGGGGTGCAGCTGTGGTTGGGACAATTATTACATTAACTGATGGACTTGTAAATAAATAGTTTATAAATAAGGTAGAAATAAGTTCCTCACGCTGATAAATAATAACTAATCTCTCTGAGGATACGGTGCTAGTGCACTCTCCTACAGCACCTTGACACGACTAAATACGTATTATGCAATTTTTTGTGAACATCAATTTATTTGCATGTATTTGTTATGAATGCCACAGTATAATTCTTGCTGTCAGTATTTGCAAGATATTGGTATTTGGGTCTGTACGGGTTAGACTTAAATGAGTTAAACCAAGGTCTATAGCCCTTGGGTCATAAACTATGAGCTATAAGTATATTGGTCTTTTTATACTGGGAATCAGGAGTTATTTTAGTGATCATCTTGTTTCTTATTTTCGTCCTGATTGTGCCCTGAGCAGTTTTATGACTGAATAAAAACAAATAAAATCAACATAAATTGAAAAATCGTCCTAAATAATCGTGATCTCAATTTCAGTCACCATAATCGTGATTATTATTTTTGCCATAATCGAGCAGCCCTAGGCTACGTGCACTTTAGAAACGTGAGTATTTAACAATTTATTTAAAATAAGAACTTCAGCCTCTTTCGTGCACAAACTTTGTCTAGAATTTGTGTTGCTTTGGGTAATTCTGACCCATCAGAGACTTTTAACTCCTAATCCTATTAAATCTCCATCCTGCTGCCTACTTCAAGGAAAAGCCCAAACTGTTATGTTAATGTGACAGATTGAAGCAGCACTGGGATGCATTTTGCCCCCTCTACCCTCCCACGGCGGCGAAGCAAATCTTCTCCGACAGTTTCCTTTACTGGGCTGCGTTCCCAAGCGATGCTAGAAGTACCGGCATGAATTAACTTTTAGAACATCTTCTACGAGCTGCGAGAAAAAGCAACGTGAAAGGTGGAGGGTTTTGATTAAACTTTGAAATTGTGCAGAGTTTGATGAGCCGGCGCTTCGTGTGGAAAGGCTTCGGTCACTTTCATCCACCAGTCTGACTCTGGGACTTTCACTTTCACGCAAAAAAATTTCCTTTAATCCCAGAAGAAGAGACCAAAAGTCCAGAAGAGAGCGCCGACACCGCTCTGATGCAACGCAGATGTAAGGATGCTGACTTTAGCAGGGGGGTGGAAACGTGTTAAATGTCTGATTGGGATGGAGTACCTCTCTTCAGGACCTGCTGGACTTTGATGTGGTTTGCACAGAAGCCGCTGTAGAGCTTGAAGTGGTCGGCGTAGTAGAGGAACGAACCCCCGAGGGAGAACAGCAGCTTCTGCAGGAGATAAAACAGGCAGGGGGTGGTTTTTACACGGAGCTGGAGAGAGGATGAAAGAGTGAACACATGAAGTCATGACTGTCCTCCCTCTCCTGGGAGACAGTTCAGACCCCCCCCCCCCCCCCGAGTCCACTTCCTCCCCGCTAACCCTTGGACCTCACTGGCTTTCAGCATCAATCAATAGACCTCACACTTTGTCATGTCAGGCCTATAAATCAGCTGATCACGCTCCTGTCACTACACCTCAATTATTTATACATCCTCAAGTCTCTAAAGACAACGTCTGGTTTGGGAATATTTATAAAGAAGTAATCGGTTAGCATTTTTCCTCACCTTAAACTGTGACGGAGTCTCGAGGGTGCTGAAGTCAGGTGAGGAGGCGATCCTCTCCTCCAGGGTCTGCAGGAAGACCCTCTGGAAATCCAGCATCTCAGGAAGGCTTCCAAACAGGCTCTCCATCTAGGGAGAGAACAGGATGGAGGGGAGGAAGTGTGACAGAAAGAAAAAAGACGAAAGGTTTGGTGGAGCAGTAGGAAGTTGATTGATGAGGACGTATGAAAGGAGAGCAGCAGAGACGAGAGGAGTGGGAGGAAGAGAAGGGGGAAAAAAGCCAAGATGGCTTGTAATTCATAACAGTCAGTCAGACGGGAACCCTGGAGTCTTATAAAACCTCCCCTGTGATGCTCCATCTCTGATGAAGCCAGTTAGCTGCAAAGCTATGACCCCGCTAAAAATGTAGCTCATAAAAACCTGTAGCTACGGTGGCCGGTAGCCTTCATTAAAAGCCATTAAGGGGCTAACGCGTCCCTGTCCATTCTCTCAGGACATGTTCCTTCGTCTAGTAATGACCACTTGATCTGGCCCGAGTTAGCTGGAGTGTCTTGGGAAGGAATGACGTGTGTTTGAGGTCAGTGGGAAACTGAGTTCATCAGCATGTTGCAGCGACGCCACATGTAATCGGAATTTAATCACGCGGTTTTAAGTGGAGAAAAGTCTCATATTTGTAATGAGTAGTGTGTACTGAGGTGTTTACTCTTAAGCCAGCACCTTACCAACCTGTCCCTCTGGGACGAGGCAAGGTCGGTGAAGGGGAATGCTAATTTCACTTGGAAGCTGTTGGAGTGGCAATAAGGGAGATGGCTCAGCAGGGATCATCAATGGCTCATAAACACTCGATTAATTTTATGTTTCATTAAGAAGTCAGGATCTCAGAGAACACACCTCCGGTCCACATTCAGCCCTGGGCCCTACCATCTGCAGGGAGGGCCGGAGATGGCCCCTCGCACTTAACTAAAGTAGATGCACCGATTCTAGTCTTGTAGGCCAATACCAATTGTTGTGCAGCTCTTTTCTGCAGATATTGGCCATTTCAGGTTTTGTCTCAGACATTTAAATACTCTTCACCAGTAAAGAAAAAAGTGTTAATCGCGTACAATCCTGGAAAAACCTTGTCCAATCGTCATGAACGTTCTTAATGATGAGAAATCGCACAGAGGTAGAGCATGAGGTAAGGGTGACACCTACCTCGTCTTGTGGAAGGAAGGTTTCGTTCTGCAGTGGTTTCAGGTAAATCTCAAACAAGCTATCCAGGTCCTAGAAGGAAATACATGTAAAAGGTCAGCCATTTGCACATCATTCCTTAGCAGCTCACCCTTTAAAACTTCTTTCATCATCAGATTTCTTCCTGTATAACCTCCATCTTTCCCTCTCTCCTCCCATAAATCACCTCATTTCCCTCTCTCGCCGGTATCGCCGCCGCCCGCTCCTTTAATGTGGCGGTAGCTTGTCTAAGTATCAGTGAGGATATTCTCATTAGCTTGATTAATGAGCATCGCCCCCCCGACCAACCCGGACGGTAGCGCGTGGATACAGATGGAAAGGCCTGCATGGAAACACTCCGGGAAGACGCTCGCTTTTCTCAATTACAACTCAATGGCAGGTTGAGGAAGAGGAGTGCTCAGTGAGGAAAACAGGAAAATAACGAAATTATCAGCAAAAACAAGTGTTTCATGTGGTTTTTAACCTGTGTGTGTGTGTGTGCATGGGTGTGAGTGTGTGGTGGTGGTGGAGGGGGGAACTGTTAGAAAAAACATGGGGGCAGAAAATTGACGGCATGGGATGGAAATATGGTTAGACACTTCCTCAGTCAGAGGGAATGGGTCTAATGCTCACCACCCCTCTCCAGTGCCTTGCATCAAAAATGTCTTGTTAAATTTCAGGAAACGATAAGAGACTTGTTCCATCTCTTTAGAAAATGCTGTCAGGTTTGATCAAATATTCATCCTCGTCTCTCAGATTACATTCTTATATTACAGCTGTCAAAAGGTTGTGGACTCGCCTTCACGTAGGACTTCTCCGTGTCCACCAGCTCCTGGATGACCTTGCGCAGCCTCTCAGTGGCGCTCAAATGCTTGGGGCAAGGTCTGAGCAGCGTTCCATCTCTGGTTCCACCTGAGCCAAGTTCCCCTCCCCTCGTCGCGGACAGTTCCCTGATGTCGTCCATCACATCCCTGACTCCTGAGCTGGAGCCTTCATGGAAGGACTGGTAGAGGGTGCAGACCGCGTCCACGCTCTGTAGGGGGCGACAGAGAGGATAGTACTTTAAGATGTTGTACCTTACATAAATACATAAATCTTCCCACAGGTCCAATAAAGCTTCTGATGATTTCAAAGCAGTAAAGAATCCTAATTGCGTAAATAACTGCCGAGCATGGTCGGTAATCCCTCTGGGTATTCTGAGAACCGATAAAGATCAAGTTCACTGGTGTTTAATACATTTGCAGTGGTCTCTAGTATAGAAGAATGCCTTGTGAGTCAATTTATGTGGGGAGAAAGCTCTGGCACCTCTATTTCAGGAAGTAGAGTTGGCCAGGAGGGGAGCAGAACACTGCATGATTTGGAGTCTTACTTCCTGATATTCAGACATCGGGGGTGTTTCTCAATGCCAAGGCGCCTTGCTAACGAGGACACTGTCCTTCCTTGGTCAAAGAAAACGGTTAAATGGGACAGACTTGCATCACGTGACCGCGGCGGTCACGTAACGTCACGTGACACGAGAGAGAATGTGTTTTTAACTTGAAAATTGTCCCAGAAGTAGCTGCCGGCTTCTGATCTGCCGTGTTTTTGAAAATACCGCAGTGTATTGTGGGTAATTTTTGACCAAGGCTAGGCTACAAGACACCTCCCATGTATCCTCGCTCAGCTAGCTAAACGGCTAACAAACGGAGAACACACGCCTCGGTAGAACATGAACATTGAAACCGATTGGAACACGTCTTGGCGGCTCCTGATGACGTATCTCCTAGGCAACCGGGGCGGGGCCAAGACATCAAGGCAAGGTTTCTTGACACTGAGAAGCACCCCTTTGCTCTGATTGGCTAACAGCAACAGTTCTACCACTCTGCTACGCTGGTGTTGTATCTCCACAAATAACACAAGCCTGGCCAAAGCATGCTCTGCTCTCTCCTGAATGTTAAAGCAGCGTTCCCTGATGAACGAAGATGGGCGAGTCCATAAATGCTCATTTTCAGTGTGACGTAGATCCGACTGGCTTTTCTCATCCGAGCGTTTCCTTGTTTATTTTCTGTTGGGGTCTAATGCAGGAAATAGGGGTAGAAGACTATTTTCCTAGTGAACTTGGTCTTTAGGATTTATTTCTGTAGGATATGTTCATTGGCTTTGTAATAAAGATTTGCACATTTGAATACTAACCAGCAGACATTTTACTGTTTCAGATATGGTTAGAATGTTAAAAAAAAACTCCCACAAAACCAGGATTTAGTCGTTTTTAGAGGTTTTGCTCCTTCACAGAAAAATTCTATTTAGTGTACTTGATAGGTAGGTGGAACCCCACTGGGAACGCCTCGTTTGCAGATGTTTGATCATCTGCATAACTTATTTCCTACACGCTTTAACTGCACAGCCTCAGGTAGGAAACTTGTGTGCTTAAGGCATCTTCTTGTAAAGTTTCGCCTGTGGCAGGGAAGATTTGACAGTCTGGTAGCACCTGTGGCACAAAAAAAACAATTAAAAGCTTTCTGCAATAAGGAGAAATCGTACATTATCCTCTGTTAGCAGCAGCTAACCCCAAAAATGTCTCATCTGATGAGCAAAACCCCTAATCTGTAGCAACATCCAACACCACGTTGGTCTGCGGGTGTGAAAGCTGTCAATTATGATGCGATTTCACAGCTAAAAATAGCCTCATGATGACCAGTCCCTCTTATTTCAAGTGACGGACATGACGTTGCATTATAATCATGCAGTCTCTAAAATCCAGCAGAGGTCGATAAGTGCGGGTAATCGCAGTTTCCAATCTGCTGCAGAGTGGTGGGACGGCCCTCATGCCAGCCAAAACAGCTGCTCAGCATTCTCTGCTCCCCCGATTTGTGTGTGTGTGTGTGTGTGTGTGTGATGCTCTTCAGAATATAGCACGAGCAAGCAGTCAAGACTCGCTCCCCCAGCCACAGTGTGTATAGCAACAGACGCGGATCGATGCGCCCTCCGCTCTGACGCTGCAGGCACCGAAGCACATGCATGCACACGAAACGTGAGCGGTGTGTGAAAGCTTGTCTAAGTCGTTTAGTTCTATACCGAAGCGAGCTACCACCCATAATCCCCCACCGCTACCCACTCACAGGGAGTCCGCAGACCATCAAGGCTTCTGTTAATGAGCCAGCGACTCATCAGCTGGCTCATTACGGCGCGGTCACTCCAGAGATTTACCTCCCAGAGTCTGAATCTAGGCTGCGTGTCTCTGGGAATGAGAGAAGAAAAGGACCGACGGGGGGGCGGTTCCTCTCCCTTTTCTTCATAAACGTCTGGGCTAAGCCTCTTTGGAGTGATCGACTGTCCGCATGAGCGCTACGCTGAGTTCTTTATACGTCGGCTGATAATTATGAAGGGACTTGATGTCCTCCCGGCGTGCCAGGGACAAAATGTCTTCATGCTCTGCAAAATGGACATACCTCAACACATTAATTAGCTCACACTGACAATCTCAATCAAGGGTACACCGCTAGACGACGGTTCATGCTGGTTTCCTTTTTGTAAATCCTGCAGCTGACAAACTTTCTCTGTGAAGCTCAGGAAGGCTGCCTGAGCCACCGGTGGTGCTGCTGCACACAGCGGCAGTCAGCCCTCATTTACAGACACACACTGGGAAAACTCCCCCAGCAGGCAGACGGGCGGGGGGGGGGGGGATTGCCTGAAGGAAACAGGTTAAAGGATATCAGAGCAACAGAATTCATGCAACAGCCCTCTAGAGCAGGCTCGTAGAGACTGACAGCAGTCACGTCTCATTCTGCTCCTGACACCCAAAAGGGAGGATGGTTGTTTTATTTTTTTAAGTGTCTACCCCTTTTTTGCGTCAACTGCCAATCAAATGCAGAATTAATTCCAACACATTACTGCATCGTCACAACATAGACACACAACGTCATGCGATCATGGCGGAGCAACAGAACTGGAGAGCAAAAAGGGAAATTTGTGAACTGTTTGCTTGTTTATTAATGCACCTGCACTGCTGCCAGACAGGAGAAGCTGGGCAGAGAGAAAGGACACACTCGTGACTCAGAAGGCCGTCGTAACAATCCACCCAACGCAGCCTGACAGCCAGCCCAGATAACCGATTAGGAGCGAAGGATGTGAGCCAGCAGTGACGGAAGAGAAGCCTGGGAGAGCTGCGGAAAACAAGTGGATCCGACAGCACCGCTGCAAATTCCCGTTCAGGTTTTCTCCCTGATAGGTGTCGACTCCACATCACGTTTGTACCCTTGAGTCAGTTTAGAAAATAGTTCTTTACCCTTCTTTGTACGCTGTTACTTTGTCTTCTGTCTACATTCTGGCGACGCCTAGCAGGACTTCCTGTTTGATCTCGAATCCTCTGTCTGCACGCGTGCATGTTTGCTGTCAAAGTGAAGGGCTTTATTCCAAAATGCTTTTAAAGTTGAGTAAAATCGAATCACGCTGTCACTCCAAACAGATCAAAGGAGCTGCCGTCGCATACACGCTCAACCTACACGCCTGCGTTCGTCTCTCACTGACATTAACCGTTTGAACGTTTAATCAACAGCTTCTGTTGAATCAACTCGCTTTCATGAGCACGGGCCCGATGACTTACTGTCTCACTCTTCAAAAGCGTTAAATAAGTGTCCATAAAGTACCTCTCCCAGTCTCCGGGTCACTATGAAGACCAGTCGGTAGAGGAGCCTCCATGCTGCCGCCGCGTGACGCTGAGTCCGTCGAGCCAGAGAGCAACCCTTCCTGCGCAGCTTGCTTCCCCTAAACTTCGGCATGACTCCACACTAATACATCTGAATGTACAGCTTGACCGTCTTGAATTTCCTTCTTAAAGAATCAGACATTCCCAACTTTCCCCTGCTTTCCCCTCCTAATTTGCAACCTTGGATAGGCCGGAAGCTTCGGCCTTAAGGACCAATTCTGCCTCTGATGGAGTTTGAGCCATCGATTCTCTATCCTTCCATCCTGAAGGCGTAAGCAGAGAAGAATCACTTCCTCCTGCCTTGTTTGCACGCCGATCAGAGGAATAAATTCTGGCCACTTTGGGGGGAAATTAGCAGCTCTTGCATCAGCATCGCTCTTCCTCTGTCGCCACTCCTCGCTTCAATCGTCATTCCTCCTTTTGCGCCTCTAGATGACCTCTCCGCTGTGATTTCCAGAGAGCTGTATGGAAAGGCCGGGAGCTGTTTTGGTGTCCGGTCTCAATGGTACCAGCACAATGTAGAGTGTTCTGGCTTGTTACCTCTGCACACAGAGGAATGGCTGACTCAAAAATGGGAGGCTCCGAGTCAGAGGGGGTAACAAGGCAGGAATGTTAACTATGGCCATGCACAAGAATAAAACATCAGCATGTCACAGGAGTTCATCTGGGATTAACGGAGAAATTAAAAAAGGCCAAATAAGTAAAAGTGTGAATTAAAGCCACTTAAAGTTTCCATCAAATCCAAAAGTCCCAGAGACGACAGGTCTAGGAGAACCAAGTCATCCCTCCCAGTTCCTTCTGGGGAAACCAGAGAAGTTTCTAAGGTAGAATATTCCCTCTCTAGTGAGTTTTGGCTCTGATGTGGAGGAGTAGCGGCAGCTTCTCTTGGATCACAGATCTCCTCGCCCCAATTGTTAAGGGCCCAGGATTTAGTTATTTTGGTCACAGCATAAATCTCAGTCATAGATGAGGGTTAGAACATAGCTGGATCAATAAATCACCACCTTCTTATTCACAGGTGGAGAAGCACCCTCATTAAAGTCCCTTTCTGGAGGTACGAACTTACCCCAAATCTGAAGAGAGCACCGCTGACAACCACAAGCTTAGATTCTCGTCCAAACCTTCGAAATAACAGGAATTTCACAGCTTTAAAGCATTAAAAAGCTAAAATTCTGGCATCAACATGTAGCTAGGGCTTCCTCCTTAATGCCAAATGAGGTTATTACAGTTTATTGTTGACCTTTAACCTCTAGTAGCCACTGCTATGTTGTGTGTGGTATTTAAACAGCTATTTTCCTTCAACGCAGCAGATTATAAAAAGGTTTCAGCCTCTTTTTCCAATGAACATG